CAAGTTAAGGCTATTTCCTTTTTCTTTAAAAGGAGATGCTAAGACTTGGTTGCGAAGTTTGCCTCAAGGGTCCATTACGACATGGGACTAGATGACTCAGAAGTTTTTAAACAAATATTTTTCCCCTGCTAAAACAACAAAGTTAAGACAAGACATATCTAATTTCTTGCAGACTGACACTAAGTCAGTTTATCAATCTTGGGAAAGATTAAAAGCAATGTTAATAAAATGCCCATACCATGACATTTATGAACATATGCAATTGTACATTTTTTATCACGGGCTAAAACTCTCTGCTAGAAATGTGATAGATGCAGCTGCAGGAAGTTCTGTAATGGGCAAAACCATAGAGGAAGCATTGCAACTATTGAATTAAATTTCTAAGAACGCTATCCAATGGCCATCTGAGCGTGTAATCATTAAAAAGGCTGCTACGGTAAATCAGATTGATGCTTTAACTACACTAACACAACAGATTGTTTCTTTGGCACAAAAGTTTGAATCTTTTCAGGTGAATACACAACAATCAAACCAATCTGAGTCTTGTGACATGTGCGAAGGAAACAACCAGAACCATGAATGTCAAGCAACCAATCAAACGGATGAACAGATTAATGTCATCGGTTATAAGCCATATCCTTTTGGGAGTCCAATGGCACAAAATCATCTAGGATTTCAGTGGAGTAATCCAAATGGTGCAAAAAACTCTCAAAGCTTCCAGAAACAGCAGGTACAGGGTCCGCCGGGATACCATAGTCAAAATCGTGGGTAACCGAGTTACAGACCTTATCAGCAAGCAGGACCATATCAACAAGCAGGGTCATGCCAGCAGAGGCCCCAACAAGCTCATTCAAGTCTTGATGACCTTTTGTACAAGTATATTAAGGTCACTGATGAAAAGATGGAAAGCCAAAATTCACCCCTAAAAAATCTGGAAAGTCAGTTAAGCCAATTGGCAGCTCTTGTGTCAGAAAAGATTCAGGGTCCCTTACCAAGCAATACAGAGAAAAATCCAAAAGAGCACCTTAAGGCCATCACTTTACAGTCAGGTAAGGAACTAAATGAACCTTATGAAGACAGACAAGAAAAGAACCAGGCAGAACAACAGGTAGACAAGGATAAGAATATTGAAAAATCATCTGAACCATCAAAGGAGAAAGAAATAAAGAATAAGAAAGAAAACATTTCTGAAAAAATTGCTGCCCCACCTGTGACAATTCCATTTCCACAAAAAATAAAACGAGAAAAGCTTGATGGTCATGAATTTGCAAAGTTTATGGAAATCTTGAAACAAATTCATATTAATATTCCTTTCACTGATACTTTGTTGCAAATGCCTTCATATGCTAAATTTTTAAAAGAAATTTTGTCAAGTAAAAGGAAATTGAAAGAAGTTTATGTGGTAATGCTTACTGAAAAATGCAGTGCTATACTTCAAAATAAGCTACCACAAAAACTTGGTGATCCTGGTAGTTTTACCATACCATGCACTTTGGGAGGTGTATATTTTGAAAAAGCACTTTGCGATTCTGGAGCTTCAATAAATTTGATGTCATTTTCTATCTTTAGAAAATTGGATCTTGGTGAAATGAAGGACATAAGTGTTTCTCTTCAGTTTGTAGATCAAAGTACTAAGAAACCTAAGGGAATAATTAAAAATATGCTTGTAAGAGTAGATAAGTTTGTTTTCCCTGTAGATTTTATAGTACTTGAAATGAAAGAATGTCCTGATGAACCGATAATTTTGGGTAGACCATTTCTTGCTACAGGAAGAGCAATCATAGATGTTCATCAAGGGCAACTAATCTTGAGAGTTGATGAAGAAAGAGTCATTTTTTATATGCAAAAGATACTAAGATTTTCAGGAGATGAGTCACCATCTTCATGATTTTCTATAAACATGATTAGTGATCTTGCAGATGAATTCAAAGATGATCAATTAATTTCAGACTCAATGGAAATATGTTGGACCAAATCAGGAACCGCACAAGATGATGATCCCACAATTAGGAGAGAAGTTGAAATACTGGAAAAGGATTCTGAGGATAAGGAGACGCAATCAGAAGAAGTTCAACCAAAAATTGAACTCAAAGTTCTTCCCTCTCATTTAAAATATGTTTATCTTGAGCAAGAATTATTTTCAGTAATTGTTTCATCTTCTTTGACTGTAGAATAAGAAAAAAGACTTATTCAAGTCTTAAAAGCACACAAAGGAGCTTTAGGGTGGACTGTAGAGGATATCAAAGGGATTAGTCCAGCAATTTGTACGCATAGAATCCTCATGGAAGATAGCTATAAGCCAATAATCCAGCCCTAAAAGAGATTGAGTCCTGCAATGCAGGAAGTGGTGAAAAAGGAGATTGTCAAGCTTCTAGCGGCATGTATTATTTACCCAATTTCAGATAGCCCTTGGGTAAGTCCAGTTTAGATAGTACCAAAGAAAGGAGGTATGACAGTTATAAAGAATGAAAATAATGAACTCATACCTATGAGGGCTGTTACAGGATGGAGAGTCTGTATTGATTATAGACGTCTCAATGATGCTACCAGAAAAGATCATTTTCTTTTACCATTTATTGATCAAATGTTAGAAAGAATTGCAGGATATGGTTTTTACTGTTTTTTTTATGGCTATTCAGGTTATAACCAAATACCAATTATACCCGAAGATCAGGATAATACAACTTTCACATGTCCTCATGGATCATATGCAAACAGAAGAATGCCATTTGGTATGTGCAATGCCCCTGCTGCATTTCAGCGTTGCATGTCAACAATTTTTTCTGACATGACTGAAATATTTCTTGAAATTTTTATGGATGATTTTACGCTCTTTGGCAAAACATTTGAAGATTGTCTGTACCACTTGACTTTAGTTCTTAAGAGATGTCAAGAGACAAACTTGATTCTGAATTGGGAAAAATGTCATTTTATGGTTACAGAGGGAATTGTTTTAGGACATAAAATCACTGCTAATGGGATAGAAGTTGATAAGGCTAAAATTAATCTTATAGCAGGATTACCCCCTCCTAGAACTGTTAAAGGCATTAGAAGCTTTCTAGGTCATGCAGATTTTTACAGACGGATCATAAAGGATTTTTTAAAGATTTCAAAACCTCTGACTAACCTCTTGATGAAAGATGTTAAGTTTGATTTTTCAGGTAATTGTTTGATAGCTTTTGACACCCTTAAGAAAAAATTATCAACTGCCCTATAGTTGTGTCCCCTAATTGGAATCAGCCTTTTGAGGTTATGTGTGATGCTAGTGATACATCAATTGGAGTTGTTTTAGGCCAAAGAAAGGATAAGATTTTTCGTCCCATTTACTATGCCAGTAGAACACTGAATGAGGCTCAAATGAATTATGCCACAACAGAAAAAGAGTTACTGGCAGTAGTATTTGTATTTGATAAATTTCGTTCTTATTTAATATGAACAAAGGTCACTGTTTTTACTGACCATGCAACTTTAAAATATCTCTTAGCAAAAAACGATGCTCGGCCTAGATTGTTAAGATGGATTTTACTTCTGCAAAAAGTTGACCTTGAGATAAAAGATAAAAAGGGAATAGAGAATCAGGTAGCTGACCATTTATCTAGACTAGAAGACCCTCCCCTTGAGTTCAGCGAGATAAAAGAAGAATTTCCTGATGAACACATTTTTTCAGTCAATTCTATTGTAACTCAACCACCCTGGTTCGCAGATATTGCTAACTACTTGGTTGGAAGATGGACACCCCAAGATCTCTCTTACCAGCAGAGAAAAAAGCTTATTTCTGTTGCTATGTATTATTTGCATAATGAACCTTACTTGTTCAAAATTTGTGCAGATAATATCATCAGGAGGTGTGTACCTGAAGAAGAGATGACTAAAATTTTGTATCAATGCCATGATGGAGCAATTGGGGGTCATTATGCTGCAAACCGTACGACATTTAAAGTATTGGAGGCCGGATTTTTCTGGCCAACACTCTTCAAAGATGTCCGAGCATATGTTGCACAATGTGACAAGTGTCAGAAAATAGGTAATATCACTAAGAGAGATGAGATGCCATTACAATCAATACGGGTATGTGAAATATTTGATGTTTGGGGAATAGATTTTATGGGTCCTTTTCCTTCTTCTCATTCATTTGAATATATCCTTGTGGTTGTGGATTATGTATCAAGATGTGTTGAAGCCACCCCCACAAGGAATAATGATGCTCATATAGTGTGTAATTTTCTTAGAAAAAATATTTTTACTAGATTTGGCACACCTCGAGTCATCATTAAAGATCAAGGAACTCATTTCATGAATAGACAATTTTCTGCTTTGCTATCAAAATATGGTGTGACTCACAAAACTGGAACACCATATCATGCTCAAACACAGGGTCAAGTTAAGGTTTCCAACTGCGAGTTAAAACGAATTCTTGAAAAACTGTTGGAATTTCAAGAAAAGACTGGTCTTTAAAATTAGATGATGCATTTTGGGCATACCGAACGGCGTTCAAAATGCCAATTGGAACATCCCATATAAATTAGTATTTGGAAAGGCTTGCCATTTGCCAGTTGAATTAGAACACAAAGCTTTTTGGGCACTGAAAGCATTAAACTTTGAATTAACCTCTGCTGGTAAAAAGAATTTTTTTTCAGGTTAATGAATTAGAAGAATTGAGGTTGGAAGCTTATGAAAATGCCAGAATATTCAAAGAAAAAAACCAAAATATGCATGACAATTTGATCCGACAAAAAAGTTTCAAAAGTGGAGATCAAGTACTTCTTTACAATAGCAAGCTGAGGCTATTTCCAGAAAAATTAAAATTCAGATGGACAGGTCCTTATAATGTTACAAATGTTACTCCATATGGGGCAATTGAAATTCAACAAATCAATGGAGGAGACAAATTTAAGGTAAATGGTCACAGGTTAAAGTTGTATTTTGGAGGACATTTTGAGCAACAACCATCGGTAACCTTGATAGCCTAAACATTTCGCTGTTAATAAGTCCAGTTGATGACATTAAACTCAGAACTATAATTTTCTTACCCGTAGCCATTGAGGGTGAAGCAATGGAACCTCATAAGCCCAATATAATTTATATGAATAAATGCTTAACCAATTGATCTGGTTAATATCCAGATTATTGTACAACCGAGACATCTCATGAAGGCTTCTACAAAAACAGAGTCATCTATACAGGAGTAATTCTATGGTGGTCGGTATGCCTAAGTCACTGGTTGGTTAACCATCTAATTGTGTAAATTAATTATTGGTTCAGGTAAATTTTTTGGTTTATATCAAAACCAGGACCCCATGACTGTTAAGGTGTTAAATTAATCCAGTCTATTACACATAGAACATGTGTAGTTACAGTTTCTTTCAATCTTTCTTCTGTGACTGTAAATTTGAAAGCTAAAAAGATTTTTATTTTATTTTTTAAAAAGTTCTTTAGTACTTTATGTATTTATAAAAAAATATTTTTTTTTAATTTTCGTAAATAAAGTACTACTTATATATAATTCTCTTTCATGGATTATTGTTTTACTGCGGGTATTAAATTCACAAAATAAGATCTCTTCAATTTTTAAATATTAACTCTTTTCTTCTTGTATCACATCACTTCTAAGTTTATTATTCCAATTTTGTGAAAGCGAGGATTTGCATCTTCAACTCAAGAAATCATTGGAATTGAGAAGAGTTATGAACATCAACAGGTAGATTCAGTAATTCTTTACTAGAACTTGCTCAGAATGTTTGTCAAGGCGAAAGAATAGTTGACACTAATTTCTGAAAAATGAATTAGGCTTTCTTTGATTTCTTCTTTTTGGCCTGAAAATATAACCAAAACAAAAAATTGTATCCCTAGTACCCAACTTTGAAGCATGTAAACCATTCTTTCTTGTCACACCACAATCTGAACCAGTAAATTATAGGTACCTTTGTATATGTAATTATTTCTTCCTAATTGTTTCTCTTCAACTGAAAGTTCAAAGATAGAGCTTATAAAAAAAATTGGCGGTAGAAAAGGCAAAAAAACAGCATACATATAGATTCTTCATATATAGAGAAAACTCTATTGTACAGAAAGTATTGTTTAAAAAAAATATGAAGAAAAAGAAATTGCTTCAAATTTCAGAATATATATAGCTTCAATAGCTACAAATAAAAAAATCACTATAAATATTTCTTTTATCCTACCAGCCTAAAGCCTAACATTACAAACCGAAAAAGCCAAAAGATTTCAGTAAAATAGTGTTTAAACTACATTAGTGGCGATTTACATAATGAGCAAGCCTATGGATAAAGAAGTACAATTCTTATTGATGGTGGCCATAAATTTATCAATTCTTAAGAGTCATAGGGAGAAGAAATGTAAGTTCTTGCCAAACAAAGATGGAATCTGTAACGATCCGACCGGTCGTTTTAAGCTCTAGCGCGTCGTTCAGCAGTTGAAAGTCATGAACAGCTTCATTTTAGGTATATCGACTTGTACGTATGGTCAGAATTGAATTTCAAGAAATTCGGAATCAAATTGGAAAGAAACTTATCATTGCGGCAACCTTAAGTTGAAGAAAATGGCTAAGATTGGAATTTTGAGTAAACGACCTCGGAATTGGGATCTGAAAGTTCCAGCATGTTCGAATGATGATTTCGGACTTGGGCGTATGTCTGGATTTGGTTTTGGATAACCCGTGAGCATTTCGGCGTATATTGTGGAAGTTAGTATTTTAGAAGAATTTCATAAACTTGGGTTGGAAGGCATTTCAGAGTTATAGATGTCCGTTTGGGATTCCGAGTCTGGGAATAGCTCTGTATGGTGATTCTGGAGTTGGAAGCGCAATCGGAAGTGAATTTGGATGTCCGGAGGTCATTTTGAAGTCATTTGGCTAAATATAGGAATTTG